GGTGGCCTAGAGGTAGGTCGGAACTGATATAAGGACGGAGGGGAGCCACAAGGTTGGAACTTGGTATAAGGTTGGAAGATGGATTATGTGCCTTGATGGTTACTTGTTAATTGATTGTCTTTGAATGCCCTTGTTGTCTCTATTTGCTATATATGAACTTATTTGTCTATTATATCTTGTATCGTATTCTTAGGACGCATGCTAGTCTTTATGATTGTTCTATAGTGTCAAGTCTGTTGTTGTGTCTTGGGTCTTGATCTTGGATTTAAATTAGAGTCTCGTAAGTTATATATGTATTCCAGTTTCAAAATGATTTTATTATATCTACCCATATTATACTTAACTCGTTGGAGTGGGTTACTAGCATTATTCGCTGACGGTTATTACACCGTATGTTTTTCCAGGTACATATCAGAAAGCTTCAGAGCGCGTTAGATGGACTCGTGGATTTAGTTTAGTATTAGTTAGATAGCCCGTGAGCCTTGAATTGTATTATGAATATTAATTATAGTTTATGCCTTGTTTGATTAGTCTAGCCTGTGCATCTAGGTTCTCAAACCTAGATGTGGCATAGCACCCCGACAATTGTGTTTAGTTTATGTTCTGTTTGTGATTTAATAATAGATTCGCCTTTATTTTATAAGTTTTAAAAGTTTTAAAAATTAGGGGTGTTACACCTAGGGTTTCATGAAGAGAAGAAGGAGTGGAGAGCAAGAGAGAAGGGGAAGATGTTTAGGTTTAGTCTTGCTAGGGTAAGAAGCTAAATGCTGAAAATGTACATCATATAAGGGTAAGGTGTTATATGGGCTACGGGCTTTTGTTTAATTCCAAGAGAATTCAAAGTGGGCTTTTGGAATTGTAAGGAACATGGATATAACAATGTTTACATGGACTTGTGCTAGAAAGATTAAATAGATTTATACAAGGGATATATCATAAAGTCCATACCAAAGATCTAATTAAATATAAGACTTAGAATATTTGGGCTTATGATAAGATACTAGGCTAGGATTATTTAAAATAGAGAAATTTGGCTCAATAAATAAGGAAATTAATTCCCAATTATGGATTACTCGTAGGGATTGATTCGGAATTTAAGTAGAGATTTTCGGGGTGTCACACTTATAGTAGAATACACATAAACTCTCAACATAATACACATAAACATAAGTCTAAGAAATATCTTCTATGTTTGCTGAGGTATGAAATTGAAATTCATAATGCACAGAATCTTATAGCAAAATACACATAACTCTCAACATAATACACATAAACATAAGTCTAAGAAATATCTTTTATGTCTGCTGAGGTATGAAATTGAAATTCATAATGTACAGAATTTTATAGCAGAATATACAAAAAGTCTCAACATAATACACATAAATATAAGTCTAAGAGATTATCTTTTATGTCTGTTGATGTATGGAATTGAAATTCATAATGAACAGAATTTTATAGCATAATACACATAAACTCTCAACATAATACACATAAACATAATTCTAAGAAATATCCTTTATGTCTGCTGAGGTATGGAATTGAAATTCATAATGTACTGAATTTTATAGTGGAATACACAAAACTCTCAACATAATACACATAAACATAATTCTAAAAAATATCCTTTATATCTGCTGAGGTATGAAATTGAAATTCATAATGTACAGAATTTTATAGTGGAATACACATAAACTCTCAACATAATACACATAAAAATAAGTTTTATACACATAAACACAAGTTTACCATTAAGACACAGAATTCATACAAAGAATACACATAACTTCATACCGTCAAGAAAGTGGCAGGTCCAACAAATGCTGAATCTTGTTTCGTCTTCCATAGCTCAGCAGTGTCAATGAGACATTTGATTGTGTAACAACACCAGTTGAGATCCTTGATTTTATTCACGCCGAGTAGTGAATAGAGGATCCTATATATAGTTACAGAACGTGTTCTTGAATCCCTTAAGCAGCGTGGAAACAACAAAGATTATAAAATCTCTTTTAAACATGTCTCCATGATCACCCTTTCGACTATCTTATTCATCATTTTGTGGTTGATGGTATTCCCTTATCTATTCCCCACTGCTCTCTCCATGCATAAACCATGTTCTTGAATTCATCGGTTTCATTTGCCGCAGTACCATCAATAACAGGAATTTGCTCTCTAGGGACGCCAAGTGTGGATTGCACATCCTCCTCCTCTAAAAAGAGTTCATCCTTTTCGAGATGGATTGAGCATCTACTAACATCCAATCTCTTCAGGAAGTACCTGAGTAGCTTCCCATGACATGCTGAGATCTTTATCTCCAGCAGTGATCCAAATTCTATTTCCTTAATAGTTTCATGCTGTTCCAGGCTTAAATTGTTCATGAGACTGTAGATTTGCTTCGGTGTTGTTCTTAACCCCAAGTACTTTACATGCTTTGGTACATCCTCCTCTGGTTCATTCCTTTTCCTCGACCGTTTTGGTGCTTGTTTAGGCTGGGTAGCCTGGGCATTGTGTGTTGATTTGGTTTTTTTCTAGCCCTTTGGATATCATCATTCCTAGCTTTCGTTCTGTTTTCATTATTCTCTAGCTCATAATCTACCTGGATGGCCACTGAACTGATGCAACATTTCTCTTTTTGCTGTATATTTGCTGCATGTCTTTTATTATAGGATCACTGTCTATGGAGTTTGACATTGCTGCAATAACATTAGGTACAGACAATTAGACAACTCAGATACAAAATTGAAATTCATAATATACAGAATTTAAATTTATAATGTGCAGAATTGTATAGTAGAATACATATAAACTTCTAACACAATACAAATAATCATTAATTTACGGAGTATCATTTTTGTCTAGTGAGGTATGACATTGAAATTCATAATATACAGAATTACATAACAGAATACACATAAACTCTCAACATAATACACATAAACACAAATTTTATAAACATCATTTATGGTTATGAAATTGAAATTCATAATGTACAGAACTTTATATTAGAATACACATAAACTTCTAGCACAATACACATAATCTAGTAATATCATTTATGTTTGTACTCAGTTGCAGAGTTCATAATCATAATACATGGAATTTATGTAACTCTAGTTTAACTGAAAATGGTTATTAATGTTGAATTTTCATGCCAATGTGGATAAATTTCATGACATATGTACAAAAATTATGTGTCATTTTTGAAATTTCATAAGTTTCGAACTTGAAACAAATAAATGTTTGAAGATTCACCTTTTGTGTTTAAATGCTCTGAACAAGGACATTGTTGAGTGTTTATGTGTGTTGTTGCTTCGACGTTCTTGCTTTTGCTGTTTCACGGGAGAGTTTTGCAGCGTTTTTTGCTTTTTAAATTTTGAAAATGAAGGAATGTCTTGGGAAAGAAGACTAGTTTTACATGTAAATAATAATTTTTTTTTAAAAAATACTGTAACTAGATTGGACGGACGGAACAGTCGCCGTCGCGTCAGGTCCCTAATAACTTAATGAAACTATGTCGTTTCGAGCCAGGACGCACAATATATTATGTGTATGATATAACGATTGCACTAATGCATCCTGGTGCACGATATAACGATTGCACTAACTCGATCAGTAAGAAAACAACTCTCAGCCCGTACAGGTGTAATTCATTGATTCAATAAGTAATATTTTGAAGAAAAGAGCATTGTTAGAATTAGGGCCGGGCACTTCGGTCTTCGGTTCGGTTTTTTTTCGGTTTCGATTCCGGTTTCGGTTTTAGAAAAGTTGAACCATTCGGTTTAACATTATAGTTCGGTTCGGCTTCGGTTCGGTTTCAATCGGTTTGGTTTCGGTTCAGATTTAATTCGGTTCGGGCTTCGGTTCGGTTTAAGACTTTACGAGCATTACGATCATTAAATTTCAACATTTCATAATTTTCCAAACATACTACCAAACAATACATATTCACATAATCCACATCTAAAATATAAACGTTATATAACAAAATAATAATTCAAAGTTTAAACATACTACTAAATAGTAAATACTAACATCACATACTAATAGCAATTTAATTACCAAAACATCACATACTTAGAAACTAGAATCCAAAGTTCAAAGTTCAAACATTACAAACATGAATCACGTAGTTCAAACTTCAAATCCAATGTTTAAAGAGTACAAACATGAAACATCAAATAAAAATATTCAGTTGGAATATTTTTACCGATAAGATGAATAATCATCTATCTGTATAGTTGATATTAAAAGAACAAGTGTCAATTACTATATAGTTAATTTTTGGACACAATCTGTCATTGCTAGTGCACTCGAAATATATTCCAGTACTAGAAAATAATTATAATGCACTGGAAATCAAAATTAGAACGACTGTAAAGCACATTAAATTTATAGAAAAACATGAAACTAAGGAAAATAGTGAATATTGTAAATATAACTCAAGTTAGATATAATTGTGAGGTAAAGAACAATTGCGACAAACAACAAAAGTGCAATGTAGAAAACAAGCTATAAAGAAATCAAATAAAAAATTTAAGATTCGGTACCGGTAAGAATGAGAATTGAACGGCGGAGCAAGCATCAAGGAACTTGGATTTACTTCTTTATTATTATTATTATTATTATTATTATTATTATTATTATTATTATTATTATTTAAAAATTTTATATAGCATTCGGTTCGGTTTGATTTTTGTCAAACCGTTCAGTTTCGGTTCGGTTCGGTACTAAACCATTCGGGTTACAAAATTCCGAATCATTTGGTTTTCTATTACTAGTTCGATTCGGTTCGATTTAGTTCGGTTTGGTTCGGATAAACCAAATCGAAGTGCCCACCCCTAATTAAAATATCAATAATGATAATATTTTTTTTTAAAAGTATAAATGAACAGATATTACAATGTAATAGAATTAATAACCTTTAATAATGATAATATAAAAATTATATTTAAAGTGAACAAATTTATTATGCGTATCTGGCTAGGGCCTTGATCGGTGGGATAATCGAAAAACCTCAGCGCTCACCTTTCTATACCGCCAAAAACTCCTCCGACGGAAGGGAAGAGGAAGCGAACATCCATGGAGAAGCAACAACTCCTAGCCATGGGCTTCTCGGAGGACCTGGCCAGCCAAGCGTTGATCGCCACTGCCGGCGATTTAACCAAAGCCACTTAATGGATTCTTAGCAACCCCCAGGATTCCGGCGATTCCAACCCCGTTTCTTCCTCTCTCCCTGCCGACCAGCCCTCAACTTCCCCTTTCCAGCCCAAAATCAATCGCTTCTTTCAATCACAATCCCAATCCCAATCCAAACCCTCTTCCGTCAACATCTATCACGAAGAAGGCGAAGAACCCCAATTACAGCGTTCAACAAAACGCCCCAAATTAGCAGCGCAAGCGGAGGAAGAAAAGAACAGTAAGAAGGTGCCGGCGGCGGCGACAAACCCTCACGAACCGTTATCGGAGCGGGTGAGACCTCGGACTCTCGACGAGGTGGTGGGACAGGACCATTTACTGGGCCCCAGCTCCGTTCTGAAATCGGCGATTGATTGTGGCCGCATACCCTCTATTCTTCTATGGGGCCCACCGGGCACCGGCAAGACATCCATTGCCAGAGCCATACTGAACTCCTGCTTCTCCTCCGTTGCGGGGATATATAGGTTTGTCTCTTTGTCTGCCGTGACTTCCGGGGTTAAGGATGTCCGAGACGCAGTTGATGAAGCTAAGAAACTGAAGAAACTGTGCAAGAAAAGAACCATTCTGTTCATGGATGAGGTTCACAGGTTTAACAAGGCTCAACAAGACTCATTTCTACCAGTGATTGAAGATGGGAGTGTTGTGTTCATGGGTGCCACCACTGAGAACCCATCATTCCATTTGATCACACCGTTATTGTCTCGGTGTAGAGTTTTAACCCTTAACGCCTTAAAACCCGATCACATTCGCATACTCCTCAGGCGAGCTGTTGCTGATTCCGATAAAGGGTTGGCATGTAGTGGGAGTTGGAAAGATTTGAAAATTGAAGTAAGTGATGAAGCTATCGAGTTTCTCTCGATGCACTGCGATGGAGATGCAAGGGTTGCATTGAATGCCTTGGAAATTTCTGCTACTACTGCAGCTTCCAGGGCTCGATTGTGTGTTGTACCAAATATCGAGTCCGGAGATGACAGTGGGAATCGAGCAGCAAATGCAAATGCAAATGCAATGGCATTGAGCATTGGTTTGAATGATGCTAAAGAAGCATTGCAATGTAAACACTTGGCATATGACAGGGCGGGGGACGAGCACTACAATCTCATCAGTGCACTTCACAAATCCATGAGAGGGAGTGATGCTGATGCCTCGGTTTATTGGTTGGCAAGAATGCTGGAAGGAGGGGAAAATCCACTCTACATTGCCCGTCGGCTAGTTAGGTTTGCTAGTGAAGATGTGGGCTTAGCTGATCCTAATGCACTTTGCCAGGCCGTGGCATGCTATCAAGCCTGCCACTTCTTGGGTATGCCCGAGTGCAATGTGAACCTGGCTCAATGTGTGGTTTATTTGGCCTTGGCCCCCAAGTCAATTGCTGTTTACCGGGCACTGGGGGATGCTTTGAAGGTAGTGAGGGAGTCGGTAGGACAGAACGAAGGGGTGCCCCTTCACTTGAGGAATGCACCAACCAAACTAATGAAGGATCTTGGATATGGGAAGGACTATATTTATACACCTGACAATCCTAATTCATCCCAGACTTTTTTGCCACCTTCTCTTCAAGGTTATAAGTTTCTGAACTGGCCCTAATCAGTGCTAGCTAGCTGCTTGCTAATCAATCATCAATCTATTCTTGTCTTATTGCCTGAATCCTGATATGATGAAAGTAGTACTCAACATGCTCATCCTAATTCCTAATTTGTACTTCTTTTGTTCCACTACTATTACTTGCAGATTTGAGTGGATATATGTTTGAAACATCTCAGTGGCATTTGGTTCAAACATTGGAATTGAAATGATAGTAGGGTATGACAAAATGCCTTTGTAAAGAAGCTTGGACTGGACATATAGTCCTATTACCTATATACTGAGAAATTTTGATCTGCATTCTCAGTGCACCTTATCCTTTAAAACGAATGAGAATCTTCTGCACAGACATGATAATTTGGTGAATTTTGCCTTTTTTTTTTCTTTTTCTTTTACTTCTTTTACAGTTTTACTTGAATATGCAATGAATTGTGATGAGAAAATGTTTCATGTGCTGTCATTCTGTTTCACAACATATTTAAATTTTGTTATAATGATTACATTATAAAATATTAGTGACATGACACTTCAAATCTAGTTGACGTGATAGAGATAACTAAGTATAAGAATTATGGTTAGAAGGAAGGAATTATGAGAAAAAGAATTGTAATTCATTAGAAAAAGAATAATGTGAGAATAAAGTAGGAATTCAAGTTATGTTATTTGATATAGAGGAATAAAATTATTGGAATTGAGAAAGGAAAAAGTGATATAAAAATTAAAATGCTTTTTTGTAATAATGATAATAATAATGATAAAAGAGCAAATGTGGGGAGTTTTTTACATTTTTGGTCCCACGACTATAGTGTCACTAACAATTTTGATCCACAACTATTACTTTCTTACCGAATTTGGTCCAATGAAGGGATAAGTCAGTTGCCGTCGAAGGCACCGTCGTTCGTGGCGGTGGTGGTGAGAACAGCCGAAGGGCACGGAAGCTCACCGTCAACATACCCTAGTAGTCCCTAACCGCGAAGGAATGGTATTAAATGGGTACGCCAAAATAGAAAATTACGCGTTGTGAATTTAATTGAGACAAATGGTGTGCCGTTGACAGGGAATTAGGAGTGACCGGAGGTGGCACGGTGGCGGTGGACCGGTGGTCACCGTGCGCTCACTGGAATTCGTAGACATTATGGGGAGGGAAAGAGAAAAAAGGCTACCTATCGCTATTGATACCAAATGAAGGGATAAGTCGGTTGTGTATTCAATTCGCAATAGAATAATACAGAGATACAAAGGAAATAGGAGACCTAACTAATCCTATACATTAGACTAGTAGTTAAGTCAAAGCTAACTATAACCATACAATATTAATATCACTAACAGGTCCTTCCGATGCATTCTCCGTTCAATTTTAGCCGGATTTTTCACCCTTTTTACTGTGGCTAATATTGCCTTTTCCATCTCACTGTGGGGCAGAATTCGTCCACGAGATGAGAGAGTATTTTGCGTTGATTGCTAAACTCAAAGATTACAGAGATACAATAAGACTCAAAAGACTAACCAATTTTTTGTAGTGAGTTTCATCGACACAAAATGGTGCGCCGTGGAAAGGTTGTTTGGGGTGGCCGGCGGCGGTGACTGTCCGTTCGCTGGAGTTGGTGGACATGGTTGGGGAGAGAGATGATCACCTGAGTTAACTGATACCAGATGAGAGTATTTTGTGTTGATTACTAAACTCATCAGAGATTACAGAGATACAATAGACTCAAAAGACTAGCCTAACTATCTCTATACATTAGCTAGCTATCTCTATACATTAGCTAGTAGTTGTAGACTAAATCAAATACTAACTACACACAGTTATAATGTACATTATAAATGTACAAAGTATAATATTACTAACACACGACCAGTTTTCTTACTACTCATTATCCTTTCGACACCTCATGCCTTCCTTCTTTATTAGCAAAATTCTTCATCATTTCAAGCAAAAATAATAAATATTTTTTTTTACTAAAATCAAATCACTATCTTTTTTTTTTTGTTTTATTTTTTTTATACCAACACAAGTCTAATTATATCAAAAAATAAAAATAAAAAAAATTAAAAACACGTTTTACCTCTTCCCGTGCCTAATGACATAGGTTCTTTGAACTTAGGATTAGTCTAGTATAAGATAAGAAACCTAATATAAATAAAAGAAAAATCAAATTTATTACGAATATACTGAAACTATTGTCATGTTTGTAGGGGTCGGAGGCATAAATATAATTGACTGGAGGCGAAACTTTAAAGCACTTTGAAAATGCTATAAAAATATTCATGATAAAATGTAAAACACAATCAATTAGATAAAATAGTTTGAATAGAAAAATACATTATAAACCACGCCATCTCTAATTCTCTATTGATATTATTATATTCATAAATGTTTTTTCTTCTAGTTAGATCAAATTTAGATTTTTCTAAATTAATTTTAATATAATACAATATTAAATAAACTTGTAGACTATATTGATTAAATGATTCATAAAAAGTAAATTTTTTTAAAAATATTTTTCATGACTAAATCACAAAATATATTTTATATCAATTAATAAATCCATTTAAATAATTATGATCACATATAATATATTATAAATCACACAAATCGATGCACATTATAAATATTCGTACTAATACGTAACAAACTATAAATATCACAGATTAACACACATTATAAATATAAGCAGCAAAATACTCAATGGGAAATAAATTTTAAATTTTGATATTAATTAAAAATAAGTATAAATTAGAGGTGCTTATAATTCAACAAGTGAATTAGTCACTGTGTTCGACGTTGATTAAATATTTAAATTAATAGTTAATTGTATACGTAATTTGTGTATTATGTATTTAAGTATATTTTATGTCGAACATGCTGACGGGCTATAGAGATGCGAAAGTGAACATTGTACGTTGTTTATTAAATTATGACCGCTACGAAAAATAAATAAATCGCCAAATACTTCTTAAGTAATCATTTTTGTAATATTGTTAAATATAAAAAGATTTTTTTTTTTTAAATGAAAGGGTAAAATACACTATTATTGATGGTGAGATGGAAAAAGACAATATTACCCACATTAAAAAGGTGAAAAAAATTTCCGGCTAAAATTGAACGGAGAATGCACCGGAAGGACCAAATTCGCTAAGAAAGTAATAGTCGTGGACCAATTTTGCAAGTTTTGAAAGTCGTAGATCAAGTTGTTAGTGATACCATAGTCGTGGGACCAAAAGTGCAAAAAAAAAAAAAAAAAAGGAATAAGGGTCAAATAGGCCACTCAACTGCACACACAAATGCAATTAGGCCACTGAACTAAAAAAGAATGCAATTGAGTCATTGAACAACACAAAAACATGCAATTTAGCCCAAAATGACTTGTTTACTTGTTGTAGCAAGTTACCCATTTTTTAATTAAATTTTAAAATAATTTTTAATAAATAAATAATTAAAATTAAAATTAAAATTAAAATTTAAAAAAAAAAAAAAAAAAAAAAAACAGAAACAGCCGGCCGGAGACGAATCGTCTCCGGCCGGCTTCGTCTCCATGGCCGGAGACGAACCTCCGTCTCCATAGCCTGAGACGAAGGTCTTCGTCTCCGGCCATGGAGACGACGTCCTTCGTCTCCATGGCCAGGAGACGAAACCTTCTTCTCCGGCTATGGAGACGAAGAGATCTTCGTCTCCATAGCCGAAGACGAAGGTCTTTGTCTCCATAGCTGGAGACGGAGGTTCGTCTCCGGCCATGGAGACGATTCGTCTCCGACCGGCTGTTTCTGTTTTCTTTTTTTTTTTTTTTAATTTAAATTTAATTAATTATTTATTAAAAATTAAAAATTATTTATTAAAAATTAATTAAAAATGGGTAACTTGCTACAACAGGTCAACAGGTCATTTTGGACTAAATTGCATGTTTTTGTGTTGTTCAATGACTCAATTGCATTCTTTTTTAGTTCAATGGCCTAATTGCAATTTTATGTGTAGTTGAGTGGCCTATTTGACCCTTATTCCAAAAAAAAAAAAATAATAATTGTGTCATTTTCTTTGTTTTTCCTTTCTTTTGTTTGGTTGAATTGCAATTCACATGGGAGGAATTATGAATTGCAATTCCCTCCAACCAAACAATGTAGTTTCTTTTTTCATTGAATTACATTGGTATTGAATTTCAATTCATGTCAACTAAACACCCCATTTATTGTACAAAATTAAAGTACAAGGATCTCATAGATACCTCTATGATAAATGACATTAAAAATATTTTATACAAAGGATTTGACCGACTGAGAGAATGTTGATAAGAATTAAATTTTGGGAAAAAGGTCAAATTAGGCCCTCGAATTTTAGCTTAAAAGTCAATTAGGCCCCTAAACTTTTTAAAGGTGCAATTACACCCATCAACAATTCATTTAAGTGCAATGAAGCCCAAAAACAAATTAACGACCTGCTATCACAGATCATTAGGGTTCAGCCCACCTTTTGGCGAATTTTCCAGCAAAAAAAAAAAAGTGATCGGCGAAATTTTCGACAAAAGAAGTGATCGGCGAAATTTTCGGCAAATCTGGGTCGGTTGTGGGAATCTAATATATATTCAGCCGGTCACGACTGCCAGAAATTGTGAAACATGTCAACTGTATGCTCGGATGCCTGGTTTTTCGGCAACTTTTTATCAGCCGGTCACGACTGCCATCCCGTTTGCTCGATGGGGGGTGGATATCCTAGGGCCTTTTCCACAGTTGTCCGGTCGGAGGCGCTTTGTTATAGTGGCAATCGATTATTTCTCAAAATGGATTGAGGCCGAGCCTCTGGCCACGATTACTTCTCAGTAATGTGCCAGATTTTTATGGCAGAATGTCATTTCTCGGTTTGGGGTTCCTGTTCACTTGATAAGTGATAACGGTCGACAATTCGTAAGCCAGTACTTTCAGAACTTCTTGGCAACGATCGGGACAACTTCGATCCGGTCATCAGTGGCTTACCCGCAGGGAAACGCCAAGTGAAGAATGCTAATCGAACCATCTTGGAAGGATTGAAGAATTTACACTCAGCTGGTCGTAATTGGGCCAAGGAGCTCCCGTATGTGCTTTAGACATACCGCACGACCCCTAGAGAGGCAACGTTGGAAACACCATTCGCTCTAGTCTACGGCGCTGAGGCGCGTCTACCGATCGAGGCATGGATCCCGACCGCTAGAGAAGGGTCGTTCAATGCAGAAGAGAATGAATGTTTTATAGCCGTGGATCTAGATGGTGTGGAGGAGAAGAGAGAAATTGTGACCAGACGCATGGCCGAATATCAAAAAAGAGTGAAGAGTGCTAAAGACGTGTGGGTTCATCCGCGATACTTCCAGATTGGAGATTATGTGCTGCGACGACGAGAGGCAAGTCAACCCCTGGAAGGAGGCAAACTCGCTCAGAATTGGGAGGGACCATATGTAATCACATCGGTCGTTCGCCCGGGCACTTACCGATTGAAAACAACGACCGGGAGAGTGATCGATGGTACTTGGAATTCTGAGAATTTTGTCTTATTTCGACATTGATGTCATTGTGTAAATGCGGATGGGGTGGGGGCTCCACCTGCGAGTGGGCACGCTAATCTTTTGTTGTATATGTAAAATATGTATCAATATGTCCGTCTACGAACGGGAGTAAATTTTGTAATGTCGATCGATGATTGCTCGACCGACTGTCAGTATATGTACATAGCAAGTAGTTTGGTTAAATCCATCTCAGAAGTTATTCTGATCGTGACTTATCTGATCAAATTCGGCATCAACGATCGAGTAGGGCGAAAGCCCAACGACCACAATGTCGCTAAAACTTGCCCGATTATACCGGGATCAAAAAATTTGGTTATAGGCGATATAGGTGCACACCACTCACTCGGCACCGACCGATAGGGGTAAAAACCTTACGGATTCTAAAATCCTCTACATCTCATCTGGGCGGATTGTAACGCCCAGAAGAAAGCGCTTATCTTAGGTGGACGGTGGGGTCACGCCATCGATCAGGACAACAGAGCATCAAATATATGCCCGGTCAGCCTACCTTCTCACCCACTGCCGCACTCATTCGTGCTTCATGTGCACGGCAGTGTGGGAGCTAGGGTTAAGGATAATAACGGCCAACATTGGTCAAATACAAATTGGTCGAATACAAACTCGAACGAAAAGGTCGAGGAAAAATGACTAAAGTTTGCACATGCATAAAAAGCAAAAATATGGAAGATAAGCAAAACGGTCCTTTCATTCAAGATAAAAGTTGCCCGGTACAAACGGGACCGGGCTCCCGAATGAGTTCACTTGAGATAAATTTACAAAAATAAAGTACAGGGACAGTCGGGGTCTACACGACCTTCCCTTCATCCTTCTTGCTAGGGCTCGACTCGGCGACAGCTCCGGAGGTGGACGGATCAGTGAAAGGCATCGGCCCGGGATCGGGAATCTCATCCGGGAGGGCGCTCAGCACTGCCTTCAAGTCTTCGCCTTCGAAGACCTCCTCCATTATTGACCGGGTCTCCGCCCGCATTGTTTGCTGGCCGGAGGCGTACGCCCAGTGACCGAACGTCCACATCTTCTCTTCGCCGAGCTTGTTTTTCATCAAGGCTCGGAAGAATTTGTCAGCCGTCGGTTCATCGCGGCATAAGAATTTGGCCAACCCTTCCATGTTGCCTAATCGGGCCTTCAGCTCGGCCGATTCCTTCAGCGCAACCCGAGCGGCTTTCTCGGCTATTGCTAGGGAGTCCTTGGCCGTCTTCAAGTCTTGTTGAAGCTCGGCGTTCTCCTTCCCTCGACGCTCGACGATCTGCTTTAAGGTCTCAGCCTCGTTGGCCAACAAGGCCCGGTATTGGAGGCTTTGGATCGCCCGGGACACCTACGAAAACACACAATTAGCTCGAGCGTTCAGAGTTGAAAATAAAAGTAAGAAGCTAAAGAAAACAATCAGTTACCTCTACTAGATCCTGAGCACCCTTCTCGGTTATCTACGACGGCGTCCATTTGCACATATCTTCCCCGACCGGCTGCAGGTTATTCAACCGGGTGAGGAGAGATGATTCCACGCCCGAGCTGACCCCGCTTGGGGGGCTTTGTTTGCGACGGCGCTTAAGAGCGCCCGTCTCCTCTGCGTCCTTCCCGAACGCCTTTTCTTTTCCCTTCCGACCGGGGACTCGGAGGGCCAGAGAGTCGATCGCGGCGTCGGTCGGCAGAGTGGTTGAGGCACCAAGTACTTGGGCGCGGGACGGCAGCGTCACATACCTCCTGCCCGGCCGATGTCTCGGCGACAGTTGCCTTCTTACCGAGCGTCATCTTGGCTCGGGGGGCTCGAGGTGCACTGGCACTCGGGAAACCACACGTGGGACCCATTTCTGCAATAAAAAAGAGCACGGTTAAAACAATAGACAATCGACAAGAAATGGTCGGGAAAAAATAGTTAATGTTAGACATTCGTCGGTTGGCTCGGCTTGTGGCGCCGCTACAGCGATCGATACGCCCGTCGGTCGAGGTTTATATTTTTGCTCTTGGTCGTATCGAGGTGGCGGCAACCGGGCATTGTCATAAGCTTCCCGCGTCCGGAAAATCTTATACTCATAAAACTCACAGGAAATCCGGAACGTTGCTTCGCGAAGGGCCCGGTTGGCTGCAGGTTGCACTTGCTTTCTGTAGTGCGTGCTCCACGTCCGGTCGACCGGGAGAATCCATGGGTTGTACTCGACCGAGAATATTTGATTTTTCCATCCTCGGTTATTCCCGAGTAGGTCATCGATCGAGCAGAGGTGGTCCCGTGACTGGAGCACCAAGAACCCGCCTCCGTACTTGGCCGTTAAGGGCTTAACCGTATAGATGTAGTTAAAAAGCTCCATCGAGCATGTAACGCTATGCCGGGAGCAGATCTGGGGAAAGCACGCCAGTATGCGATGGGCGTCGGGCAAATCTGGGCCGGCAAGACCCGATAATAGCCTAAGAAGGCGGTCAAGAGGCAGAGAAGGGGAACATGATTGGGGCTTGCAACGAATCGTAGTGCATCCCGATCCATTTCCCCTGGTGACGCTCCTTAATTCCTCCTAGGCTCCTACGGGTATCGAATTTTACCCGGCCGCTTATCCTTGCCGAAATCTTAGATGCTTCATGGGTCGTCAGTAGGAACTCCTGCTGATCGACGCTCTCGCTGTTGAGGAAGATGAATTCCGGCTCAGCGGCTGCGGTTGTGGTCGGCTCTTCGTCGATCGAATCGGGCATAGCTTCCCGGTCGCGTGAAGGAGCGGGAGCTCTATGGTCGGCCCCAATGGTTCTCATAGGCGTCTCTCGAGCATGCTCGGCCAGAGATTCACGGCCACTCGTGGAGGTATTGCTACTGTCATCATCGCTGTCGCTGCTCGAGCCGCTTGAGCTGGTCGAGCTTTCCGAGCTCGAAGAGCTTCTCCACTCGGGCGTTGGCCGTGGTCGTTGGACGACCTCGGTGATCTTGGGCGACGATTCCTCGATCGCCGTCTCTTCGCTGGCTTCTTCGACCGTGTTGTCGTAGTCCGCTCCCGAGACGTTCTGGCTGTCCGGGTCTGACATATCTCCTTCATAAAGGAGATGACCGTTTCATCGGAAGGGGTCGGTTACTTTTGGTCGGGGTTAGTGGGTCAGTAGAACAGAGCATTGCAGGAAAGAGTTAAAGAGGAAATAAAAAGATGAGAAAGAAAGGACTTATCGATTAGTGAAGCTTGTCGGGAGGAAAAGTTTGCTGCTCGATTGATCTGCTGTACTAATTACTCGGGAAACTCCGGTCAATTCTCACAGTGTGGTAAAAGTTCAAATAAGCATCAGAGGGGCATATTTATAGGAAAAATTTTGGCGGGAAATTTCCCACTTGTGCCATTTGACCGTTACAGACCCCAAGGCGCCTGCAGACCAACACGTGGCGTGGGAAATGACAGCTGGCCGGTCGGGATTGAAACCCGAGTGGCAAGGATTTTTCATCCCGTCCCGTTTTTTCCCGAGCGGTCCAAAACGCCCCGGGATGGGGGGCTCTTGGTAGGATATATCCTGGCCGACATGAGTTTGGTACTTCTTGTAGTTTGGGTAGGATCTTTAGGTCGGGAGTCGTTTGCGCAAGGCGGTCAGACCCGACCGGTGGACTTCCCGATTGATGTTATTTCCCGGTCATCGTGCCTTTACTTATGAAGAGACAGAGATATTGAAGAGAGGCACGTGGTAATGTTGTACGTCGACAGAGAAAGCTCGCCAGGTGATGACACGTGGACGCTACGTGGGTTACATGCTGGTAGGCCGGAAATTTGTCTCCAGCCAAAGGCTATAAGTACCCACGGCGGCTATAGTGGGGGGGACTTTTGGACGATCAATAGGCTATTTACAGAGCTGCCCGACCGCAGTCAGTCGGCCCTCGGAATAGTCATTTAGATTGTATTAGGTCACCTCCTGATCAATAAAATAACCTTATTATTATCACTTGTTCTCATTTAGCACTTACATCTCCTACACGTGGATATTAGTACTATCAATGATAAATAATTCAAAGTATATGCTTACAATAGATATTAATATAATGATATAGTAAAAATTAACTTACAAATTTTTTTAGAAGTTTTCATGCATTGATAAAATTTTGATGTGTAAACTTGTTCAATTGGAGCTAGTAGGATGTTAAAATTGTCAATTATTTGGAAAATGATCCTACCATTTTAGAGTCCATGTGTAATTGTATTTATGATCAACAACTTTGTAGTTAGGCCGCGCAGGTCTGACAATGACAATGATGTAAGAACAATTTTGTCCAATAAAAAAATAATAGTATAATATTTGTAAAATAATGTACAATTGTACCATTATTATAAAATTGTAAAAAAAAAACAAAAAATAGTAATAGCATAATGACCTAAATCATTCCAATAATGCAAAAGCATAATTGAAATATTAAATTTTGTTTTAAATAATCAAAACAAGATTAATTAAACATTAAAAAAAATTAACCTAATTTTTTTTAATAACAAATTCAAGAAAATCAAATGATTTTAAAGTAGTTCCTAATTTATAATCTTTGATGCTCAACTTTGAATGCTATGTATTTAGTCGGACTAATTATTTGAATAAAGTTTATATATATATATATATATATATATATATATATATATATATATATATATATATATATATATATATATATATATAATACATTTTAACATATTCATAATATATGTTTAACAATTATGCTAATTATAATTGGGATGGGATTCAGACCTAAGACATTTTCTTATATAAATTAATGAGTATGTTAAGAATAATAAATAGTTAATGAAATATTCCGTTACTAAAGTTTATACTAACGGAATTTAGGGTTATTTAAGGAAAGAAAATAATATAATAGAGGGTAAATAAGGAAAATCATTAAAAGATACTAAAATCAAAATAATATGAACCATTCATTTTAAGAAACGATTAGTATATATATATATATATATATATATATATATATATATATATATATATATAATACATTTTAACATATTCATAATATATGTTTAACAATTATGCTAATTATAATTGGGATGGGATTCGGACCTAAGACATTTTCTTATATAAATTAATGAGTATGTTAAGAATAATAAATAGTTAATGAAATATTCCGTTACTAAAGTTTATACTAACGGAGTTTAGGGTTATTTAAGGAAAGAAAATAATATAATAGAGGGTAAATAAGGAAAATCATTAAAAGATACTAAAATCAAAATAATATGAACCATTCATTTTAAGAAACGATTAGTACCGACATTTTTTTGTTCCAGTTAAGGGCCTAATATTATTGGCTCTTATTAGATTTTTAGATAGATTAGATAGAAATAATAATTTAGTAGCTAAAACAAAAAATAATAGATGCATTTCTTTAATTTAGAATTATGTGTCTACAATATCTTTATTCAAAAAAATTTATTCATTATCAATAAATTAAATAAGAAAAATAATTTCATTAGTTATATTGTATTTATTTTTTTTCAATATAAAAATTCTTTACATTCAAATTCAACAATTGATTATTGATACGGGTAATTCCCGCCTATGTCGAATGTATGTATGAACAATAACATATGTAGACAAGATAAAATAGCTCAAAGGATCTCTTTATTCATAATTGTTCTTGTGTGATCTTGTAGAGAGAAGGGAGAGAGAGAGAGTCTATCTAGAGAGAGAGAGGGAGCTAGTGGAAGTGAGGGGGGCCCTAAAATGAAGGGTCAAGTGCCCTTATATAGGTGCAATCAAGACGGGTTTGACCTTGACCCGAACCGTTTGACCCGACCCAAATAGGAGCACGGAGCGTACGGAGAGCCTGAACCGGGGTATATTCCCCATCAATTATATTCGCTACATTGTCTCTACAATGTCTTTATTAAAAAAAAAAAATTATTCATTATCAATAAATTAATTAAGAGAAATAATTTTATTAGTTATATTGTCTTTATATTTCTTCAATGTAAAAATTTTTACATTCAAATTCATCAATTGATTATATATTCACTACATCGTCTATTATCTTTTTTTTGTACATTATTTTTAATTAAATATCAAAGTTATAATACAAAATAATCATATATATTTATTTACCAAGCATTTTATTAATACCATAAAAAATTAAAAAATATAATTTATAAAGTCAATCATATTAACTACTTGAGGGATTTGTTGACAAAGAGAGTATTCAAATCACACAACAAATTGAAGTAAAAACTACCTCGCAATGTCCTTGGTTGACAATCATATGTTAGCGGTTAGCGGTTAGGGATTATATTTGCGAATTTAACCAGCGAATTATATCAACAGTTGGTAAAAACATAATTGAAAAAATTAGCTGTTTAGTTTAACATGTAAAATGACCTAAATGTGTGTGTGTGTATATATATATATATATATATATATATATATATATATATATATATATAATTGTTTTAAAAAAAATAAAAAATATAATTAAGCCAATCATATTAACTACTTTGGGAATTTATTGACAAAAAGAGTATTCAAATCACACAACAAATTGAAGTGGGAAACTATCTCGCAATGTCCTTGTTTGGCAATCAACAGTTAGCTTTTTAATATTAGTATATATTTAATATTTTATGCTATAATTTTTATTTGCTCTCCCTTATGTCCCGTATTTGGTTTCAACCATACCTATACAATTATTTTATTGACAATTATAATTAATCTTGACTATATTATCTTGCATTTGTAAACTTATAATTACCTATTTAAATACGCAAGTTTAACATTTAATTATCTATGCATTAACAATTCCAATATAATATAGCGTTGATATATACTTTAAAGTATTTATTTAAAAAAAAACGTTAAGTATTATCCCAATCGTGCAATGCATGTGAAAAACTAGTATATATAATAAAACTCATTTATTACTGGAACGCTGCATGTGTCGGTCCAATAATTCAATAAAATTTGTAGATTTTTTGCTTGACTGCAACGAGAGGCTCAGAGGCCGTACTTGTTCCAAGTTTCTGCTTCATTGCCATTTCTCTCAATTTCACCGCCTAACTTCATAATCAAACCAATAATAAAAGAATCAAAAAAATTTTAAAAAAAAATAAAAATAAAAATCTAAACCACTATTTTGTCCATAAATGGCTAATGACAATTTGCACTTTTCTTGATATGAAAAAAAAAAAAAATACATTTCTAGTCCCTCAATTATTGATTGATATGTAATATTGTTCTTAATTTTCAATTTTAAAAAATTGTGTCTTTCAATTATTTTAACCATAGGCAATTTAGTTTTTCTGTAAAATTTTTCTTTAACAGTCGTTTAAGGCATGGGGATTTTGTAATTTCACTCTCCACTATTTTTCCCCCCAAGTTCTCCCTTTCCTCCCTGATATGAACCTAGTTCTAGGTTCATATAAAATAGAGTATTGTCCCAAGATAGCTCTCAATGTAAGGATAGAGATGGATCAAAATACTCATAGACCTCAAGTGAAACCCTAAGTCCCGAATCCTCAAAGACTTAGAAGAATCACGTTGTAGTTTCAAGTACCTCGATGATGCAATCTTCAATCAACTAGAGTTGGATATAGTTTCCTTTGCTTCAAGAACGAGTCCATGAACCTAAATCTAAGGTTGAAGAATGATTCGAGTCCACGAATCAATTGCTAATTGAGTCCACGAACTAGCCACTAATTGAGTCCACAATTAGTAATAAAGTTTCTTACACAAGTGTAAAGAAAGTCTTAAGAGTCTATTGAATGAAAAGCGTAATTATATTAAAGTTGTTATGGTTGTGCCTTATTTATAGGTATAAGGGCAGCATTGTAGTCCTAAATACAATGGGAAAAAGAGTCTTAAACCTAATCTAGAAAGCAAGTAAAGATAATCCTATTTATAAAGGGATTTGAGGAATCTTTTCTAAATACAAACTAGTATTTTCTCTTTCATGCCAAACATTTTAAATTAATGATGACAAAAAAAATAGAGTTGATTTGAGCCTAATTTAATCTCAAAATCAACACTTAAACAATTATAAAAAAATCTTGAGTTCTTCTTCATATTTTGCA